AGGTACGCGGGCCTCTCACTGTTGTGGCCTCTCCCGTTGCGGAGCACAGGCTCCGGACGCGCAGGCTCAGCGGCCATGGCTCACGGGCCCAGCCGCTCCGCGGCATGTGGGATCTTCCCAGACCGGGGCACGAACCCGCGTCCCCTGCATTGGCAGGCAGACTGCCAACCACTGCGCCACCAGGGAAGCCCTCCCAAGATTTTTTAAAGTAGATTTATTGGGTCAAAGGAGAGAAACATTTTAAAAGCACACTGCTTATATTTTGCAATTCCTTTTTGAAAGGTTGTAGTAATTTACCCTCTCTCCAGCCCATGTTAGGCTCACCTTGACAAAACACAAATAATCTCTTTTTTTAAAACGTGGTGTCTCATTGTTTTGATTTATTTTAATACCTAGGAGGTTGAATGCTTTTTCATATGCCTGTTGCTTCTTCGGTGAGCTGACTCTTTGAGCCCTTTTGCAGCAGGGTAGATTTAATTAATCCCAGTTTACAAATGAGGAGGAAATGGACGCTCAGAGAGGTTAGTTGACTTGTTCAAGGTGGCCCAGCCAGCTGGAAGCAGAGCCAAGCTTTAGAAATCGGATGTCCCGCTTTTTCACTTATTCCTGCTCCCTGCGTTGTTGAACAGAAGGCCAGACTCCTGAAACATTGACCGAGGACACGCTTAGAAGGAAATCAGGGAGTGGCCCAGGGAATCTGTATCCAGGCTTAGCAAGCCGTGGGCTTCCTGGACGGGGTGCCCCCGTGAGTTGGGTGTGTGTGTGACAGGCCTGTGAAGGTGGCCGGGACTGCAGCATGGACAAAGTCCTGGGTGACCCATGTGTCCCTCGTGGTCTCACCTCTACCTCCCGTGGCCCTGCCGCTCTGCTCTCTCCCCAGCTGGCCCGCTACACCAAGGAGGGCTTCTTGCACCTGGGAGCCCTGGGGACCACCACGCTCCTCCCTGACACCCGCTGCCTGGTAGACAACTCCAAGAGTCGTCTGCCCCAGCTCCTGGACTGCGACAAGGTCAAGAGCAGCCTGTACAAGCGCTGGAACTTCATCCAGGTAAGTGCTCCACGGACAGGCCTGGCAGCCCAGAGCACGTGAGGATGCCGCGAGCGCCCCCGGGAAGGGCAGCCAGCAAAGTGCAACCCAAGGTCTCCCGGCTTAAGGCTAGGCACATGGACTGCTGCCCAGGTTCAGGTGGAATCACTGGGGCCTTTCCCTGTGAGACAGGATCCCTGCAGCAGCGCTAGGCTGGGTTCTGATACATCTCGAGAGGGAGTTCGGGGTGACTTCTCTGGAATCTTCTAAATGCCAGAGGGATGGAGAAAGTCAGATTGAGACTATCCAGGGCAGTCCCCCATCCTGACACCATCCCCTACCAGTGCTTTCACCTGGTTCAGCCACTCAGACTTGGTGAAGCTTATTTATTTTCTGACTTTAGGGTTTCCAGAGAAGGTCCAAAGGCCCAACGATCCCTCCCCCCTGTGCACAGAATTTTGGTGGGATTGTTCCCCAAGAGGGGCCATGTGCCGGGCACTGTGGTGGTTAAGTCTCTCTCTCTCTCTCTCTCTCTCCCTCCCTCCCCCTCTCCCTGTCTCTGTATCTCTGTCTCTCCCTGTCTCTTTGTATCTGTCTCTCTCTGTTTCTATCTCTCTGTTTCTCATTCTCTATATCTTTCTCTGTCTGTCTCTGTCTATCTCTCTGTCTGTCTCTCCATCCTTGTCTCTGTCTCTGTCTCTTTGTTCCTGTCTCTCTGTTCCCGTCTCTGTCTCTGTCTTTCCGTCTCCACCTCTCTGTCTGTCTCTTCTCCCTCTCACCCCCACGTGCTCCCAGAATGGCGCCGTCATGAACAAGGGCACAGGGCGCTGCCTGGAGGTGGAGAACCGAGGCCTGGCTGGCATCGACCTCATCCTCCGCAGCTGCACGGGACAGAGGTGGACGATTAAGAACTTCATCAAGTAGTGGAAGGAGCTGGGGCCCTCGGAGCCTGGCCCTCGGGACAGGGTCTGCGTCCTCTGGACCAGCCACGCTGGGAGAGAAACAGCAGGGAGTCGGCAGGTGGTGCTCAGTGGGCCTCCCGGGGCTTCTCCAGGGTAGCCTGGGGCCCAGATGGAGACACTGCCTCTCCATCAGGCATCCAGCTGCCTGAGGCTCATGCACCCTGGCAGAGCTCCCTGACCCTTCTCTAGGAGCACAGGAGCCGTGTATTCTGCAGCCTGGATACGGACCTGGTGCCGAGGAGTGACACATCGCATCTCCTCCTGTCCTTCTTCCCATCCACTTGCAGGACTGGGGCAGGCGGGGGCCCCTCCTTTTTCTCATCTCTCGTAGCAGCAGCAGCACCTTCTGAATTCCACCTGAGCCCTCAACGAAGTGGAGGCGGGGAGGTGCTGGGCCACAGCCTCGCTCCCCCTCCTCTGAGGAGGCAGCGAGGCCCTGAGACCCAGTGTCCCCCGGGTTGCTTCTGCCCAGACACCTGTTCACAGCCCAAGATCGCCAGCCCCCACACCTTTCCAGCAGGTGGCCTTGGACTTTTCTGGACTCCAACCCCGAGATGACCTGGAAGGAGCTGATGCTTCCACGGTCACCTGGGCACTAGGATCCTATGTGCCTGGACCAGCTCTTCCATGTATGTTGTCAGCAGGAAGGCAGAGAGCACGTGCGGTGGCCTCAGCTGTGAGGGCCCCCAGGCTGGAGCCGGGCCCATTCTGCTCTGCCTGCCCAGGGGCCGGGGATCCCGGACTCACAGTGGCTACCGCAGCGGGGGCAGCAATCAGCCCCCATCTGGAGCTTAAGGACTGACGTCAGCACAGCACAGGGGGCCAGGACCCTGGAGGATGCTCTCGTGTCTCCCTGTGCTCGGCCAGCTGACTGGGAAGAAGGCAGTCGAGTCCCCTCTGAAGAGTAATATTCTTTCTGATTGCCCTCTGGTTAGGGTGCACTTATAAATCAGAGTTAATATATGGACGAGTGTGCATGCGTATGAGGGTGTGTGCCTGGTGGGGCGAGTGTGCTGCTGCCTGTGCGTGCGTGCATGGTGCGTGTGTCTGGGCGTGTGCGTCTGAGTGCACGGTAGGGCAGACGTAGAGGTGTGACCTTGGACTTGTCGCATTACTGCCAGCCCAGATCAGGTCAAGGATGCTGAGAAGCTTGCGGGGGGCGGGTTGGCCAGCAGGATGTGACAGGGCTGGCGCCCCAGATGGAAGACTGTCCTTCTGCCGGTTCCCATCTGTCTCCCTCATGCTGTCCGGCCAAGCCCTGCCCAGAACCAAACCCCATACCTGCCCAGTTTGGGGTTCACAGTGTCTCATTTGGTGGCATCTTACTGGTGATCCTTTCCCCCTTTGTGAAATAAATACATATGAGCACTTCCCAGCTCAGCCTTTTGGGCTTTTTGATTCTTCCAGAGCCCGGGCCCGGAGGCACTTCCTGGGACATGGCAAGGGCTTCTGGTTTATTAAAGGCAAAGAGTGTTCATTTGTGGGGTGGGGACACGGCCAGCCTGCCCTTGCTCTCGCCTCCCCCCAAAGCAGGACAGAACTTGACGTTGGACACCTGCTTGCTAACCCCCTGTTGACCCCAGATTAGAAGGGTCAGGTAGGTGCAGAAAGCTGTGACGCAGAGGAGGGCCGTGGGTGACCTGGCCAAGCGTCCTGACCCGCCTCTTCGTGCTGCTGGCCGCCACTCCCATCTCCCGAGACCAGAGAGCCCATAATGGAAGCAGCTGCCCCTTCTATTCATGGAGAAGCGAAATCCAAAAAGACGGCAGGCCTTCTGCCCTGGAAATGAGCCTGGAAGGAAATGGGCTGAAGTCCCCTGGGCATTGACAGCCCCAAGTCTCTTCCCTCCCAGGAAGCCAAGAAGACCCGGCTTGTTCGGTGTAACCCAACCCACAGACATGCGTGTCAGCTGCCGTTTGGGGGGGCTCTTTGAGAATCGGGGTGCATGAGCACAGATGGAAAATTCTGTTTGGTGAGGAGGGGTTCATCAAACTTAAACATCAGATCCTCGGGGTAACTATTAAGCCGAAAGAGCCAAGGGTCTGCCGGTCCCCCGCGGGGTCAAGGGGGCCTTGGGTAGCATTTCAAGGCGGTGCTTTGAGGAGCGGTCCTGCCCAGACTGAGCCATTCTCCTGTGCGGTTCTGAAGGTAGAAGCTCAAAGAAGACAAATATTCCATTTTACCGTTAGCTGAGGCTTTGAGCCCAAATCCCCCTGAGGTACTCAGTGGGCCCCTGTGGGATCCTTCATCCTCTGGGAAATGGGCCGAAATGGCCTCGGACCAGAGAAGCCGCAAGACCTGCTCTGTGTTCCCCAACATCCAAACTCACGTCCCCCTGATGGAGTTGGAGCCCCACCCTCTGAATTGTTCACTGCGCTTTGGGCTCATTTCTATTCCTAAGGCTGCACCCCTAGCATACGCACAGCAGGAAGAGCCCTGGAGTTTTCAAGAGAGAAGTGTTGCTTTTCTTCAGGGCCACAAGGCAGCAGGCAGGATGTTTGGGTTTGCCTGTTTACATGATGGGGATGAGGGTGCTGGTTTAGGGCCATGGGGGCCTCTCAGCCTCCCGGCACAGCATGTGTGCTGCAAATCCTGGCTCTGGCCCTTGCTTGCAGCATCCAGGAAGCCTGGGCTGTCTGTTCATACCAGCACTGGTTCCTCCCAAAGGCCAGAGCCTGAGGCCAGCATCTGGGTCGGCATCCTCATTGCCCCACAGCATCCCAGGCGACCTAAAGGCTTGGGGGTGGCAGGCCAGCGGCCAAAGCACAGAAGAAGAATTAACTGTAGCCAGAGAGGGAGGAGAAAAAAGACGAGCAGGACCCTGGGGAAGCCTAGGGTCCCAGAGCTTTAGGGGAATTTGGAAGTTCCAGAGACCCATACCTCTGCATAGCTCAGGCAGCAGGCTCCAGGCATCGGGCTTGAGTTCTGACAACCTTTGTGCATCTCCCTCCATCCATGCGGTCCCGTCACATAGGCGCTTCCCACTCTCCTGTCTGGTGGCCGTTTCCTTCTCTTTCATTTTTTCCCCCTCAATTCATATGGCAAAAAAAAAAAAATCACAGATGGTATTCCCGATCGATGTCCAAGCCATCAAAGCTGACGCCTTTGAATGTTTTATTTCTCGAATGTGTTCTTTATACTGATTCTGGGGGCTACAGAAGAAGAAACCGAAAGGACAGAGAAAGGTGAGTTCGGGCCAGACGTCGTCATCGTAAGCCACAACTCCCAACCCTTTGACTTGGGTTTCGGAAGCCACGTGTTTTTCATCTGATATTTCTTCCACTATTCTCAGAAAGGATCCCTGTTTCACAAAGGGCAGAAGTCAGGCCTGGGCAGAGCCGGTGACCCGCACACCACTGGGCTGTCCGGTGATCGGTTGTTCCTGATTTGTATGCAATCTCTCCTCCTTCTACTTTGCTTTCAAGGGCTGCTCTGAGAAGAGCTGAGTGTCAGAAGCCCAGGGATGGACTGGGGAGGAGCTCGGAGCCTGCACACGGAACCAGGTGGTCCACGAAGCCTGGAAAGGCCAAGGGGCCAGAAGCAGGTTCCCAATCCCCACTCATTGCCAACATGCCAGCCTCTTGTTTGGATTTGAGCTCCAGAGGAGCAGGTGGGCCGGCAGATCCCCAGCTCCTGATCAGCTGCCCCTTCCTCTCGCCCGAAGCACAAATCCCTGGGTCTCTCGGCTACTCTGCTTTCTCACTTAGGCAAGTTTCCAGGACCTACATATAGGGACAGGTGGCGGGCCCCGAACTCCAGAGGTTTACTTCAGTCCAGTTCAACAAATATATTTGGACACCTATTCTGTGGTTTGCTTTTTAAGACTTCTGGAAGCAAGGAAGGAACGAAGGAAGGGAGAGAAATGGAGGGAGGGAGGGAGGGAGCAAAAGAAGGAGGACCTAAAACATTGAGCAATTGCAAGGCACCACGATGAATGATGAGAATCATGGTATTTGCCCTTTAAAGCTTATATCTGAATAAAGAAAACAGAAACAATATACTGGGCCTCCCCACCCCTGGAGCCGGGGCAGTCATGAGATGGGGTCTTTGCCTATCGGTATAAATGGGGTTCTTGGCGTGTTAGCAGATTCCAGTGTTCTTTCCCCAAAGAGGCTCCAGCCAGTGGGTAGCTCTTGCAAGTGTGGCTCCCAGCTTCACTTCTTCTGCTGCTTATTGATGTGGGCCCCCAACACTGTCCAAACACAAAAAGCCAAGATGAGGAAGTGAGAGAGCCAGACAGGCATCACTGATGCTGCCGCTTGTCCCGGGACCCTGGAAACTGTCCGGCTCGCCAGCGATCATCATCCTTAATAAATGGTCGGGGGTTCCTGTTACTCCAGGGTCAAAATACCATCTAATCTGCTCTCCCACTGGATGCCCATCCACCAGTCCACTATCGGCTTGATAAACTAGAGACAGCTAGTTCTAGGGCAGAAACCCTCTTTCTGACAGTGAACCAAATAAGGTCTGAATATCAGTAACTTCTTCCCACTGTCCGGCCCTCTGGAACTCTGAAAACAAGATTAACTGCCTGTTAAAATCTACCTTGCACTTGGGCTTCCCTGGTGGCGCAGTGGTTGAGAGTCCGCCTGCCGATGCAGGGGACGCGGGTTCGTGTCCCGGTCCGGGAAGATCCCACATGCCGCGGAGCGGCTGGGCCCGTGAGCCATGGCCGCTGAGCCTGCGCGTCCGGAGCCTGTGCTCCGCAACGGGAGAGGCCACGGCGGTGAGAGGCCCACATACTGCAAAAAAAAAAAAAAAACTACCTTGCACCTTAAGTCAGGGCCCCTCCTTGAAGCTTTAATGCTGCTGGTTATAACAGAGAGAAACAACCTATGTTCCCTTGACGACAGCTTTATCATGGACAGAATTCATCTTTGCCGCCTGGTGAAATGGTTCACTGTCTTGGCTAGGCAGCCACGATCCATTTGCCACAGGCTAGGGTGCTCTGTGGTACCCCCTTATCCACGGGGATATGTTCCCAGACCCCTAGTGGATGCCTGAAACTACAATAGTACCAAGTCCTGTGTACAGTTTCTCCTATACATGCATAGCTATACATGCATAGCTATACATACATAGCTATACATGCATAGCTATACATGTATAGCTGTACATGCATAGCTGTACACACATAGCTGTACATACATAGCTGTACATACATAGCTATACATCCATAGCTATACATCCATAGCTATACATGCATAGCTGTACATACATAGCTGTACATACATAGCTGTACACACATAGCTGTACACACATAGCTGTACATACATAGCTGTACATACATAGCTATACATCCATAGCTATACATCCATAGCTATGACAAAGTGTAATTCATAAGTTAGGCACAGTAAGAGATTAACAACATAGTGATAACATAGAACAATACACTGTAATAAAAGTTGTGTGAATGTGGTCTCCCTCTCTCTCTCAGTATTGCTTATTGTACAAATTTAATGCCCTTTCCTTCTTAACTCAGCACTTGTCACACACTGTGGCCGTAACTTCTGCAGTTTGACGTGCAGCAGCAAATCTAGCTCGGATTTCTTTTTCCTTTCTCACGGTTTCACAGATAGAAGATTCGTTCTCACTGCCGATCTTAGTACCCTCCACATATGATATTTTTCTTTCCTTATTAAGTGGAGAATTTTCACCTTTCACCTAAAGGAAGCACTTCATGGCACAGCCAAATTGGTCAGAGTGAGGCTGAGAGATTCTTGGCGAACTTTGTCAATTTCAGCTGGACTAATCTTTTCACCAAATATGTAGTTCATGGGTCGCTAACATTATGAACCCTCCCTCAGCCCCGGGAGTCTGGGCTTTTGCATCCAGTGTGGGATCCAGCTTTGAACAGCAGGGAAAGCAGAGCTTTCAATGGTCACATCCAACAGGCACTGGGCGAGGTTTGTGCATCGGCAACTTTAGATACTGACATTTCTGCAGAGGCCTGGGGCACCGCCCTTGGTTAGTTATAAGGCAGGTTTATAATCCAGCCATGCAGATAACAAACAAGAACGTACAGGCTGCCATATATACAATTACTCAGCCATGAAAAGGAACGAAATTGGGTCATTGGTAGAGACGTGGATGGACCTAGAGTCTGTCATACAGAGGGAAGTAAGTCAGAAAGAGGAAAAACAAATATCGTATATTAACGCATATATGTGGAATCTAGAAAAATGGTACAGAGGAACCTATTTGTAGGACAGGAACAGAGACGCAGATGTAGAGAACGGACATGCGGACACAGTGGGGGAAGCAGGGTGGGATGAATTGGGAGATTGGAATTGACATATGGGAGGGAGGTCTAAGAGGGAGGGGATATATGTATACACGTAGCTGATTCACTTAGCTGTACAGCAGAAACTAACA